ATATGTAGAGAGAGAGAGAGAGAGGGGGGGGGGTCTGTCTGTCTGTCTGTCTGTCTGTCTATCTATCGATCTATATATCTTGTCTGCATATCTTGAACTATCTTGATCTATCTACCGATCAGTCCATCCGTCCGTCCATCCCTCATCCTAGCTAGCTAGCCATCTACCTATCTAGAGTACAGAAACAAAAGCCCTCGGGGATTCGGAGGTGGTGAAGATGAGCCTGGCGTCAGTACGCAGCAAATCTGAACTCCGCCTTGATCCCCACGTTACTCGAGCCGTCTTGCAGCCGAGCGGCAGTACTCGAAGTACTTCCGTAGCCAAGGTGGCGAACGCCTCCTGAAGAAGCTACAACTTCCACCGTCCGACCACCCCAGAGGCTCCGGATAGCCCTGAGTTTCGAACTCCGACCTCCCTCCACACGAATTTAGAAGCGTCTGGGCCGAAACACATCGCAGCCCAAGAGCGAAACTGGAGAAGTTGTTCCGGGACCCAAAGCTCAGGACGAAAGAGATGGGGATTCACCGCTTTTGGGGCCCAGGGTTCCAGGCTTTTGTCAGCCGGGTCCTAGGGTTCCGGGACTTTCCGATGTGAATCGTTGGAAAGTCTGGGCGAGGGAGTTGCTTCTCGTCCTCCAAAGACTGCCCTAGACAAAGATGATGCGAAATACCCCTCACAGCGCCCCAAACAAAGTCCCGAAGCCACCCCTAATCCCTAAACCCTAAAACCCTAAACACGAAGCCACGGAGCCTCCCAAGCCTCCTTGCGGTCCCCTCTTTTAGCCAAGCGTCGCGCGCTTCCACCAGAAATCCCTCCAGGGGTCGCAGATGTGATACCTGAACCCAGAGAGCCCAATACCCCTTAAATATATATCTTAACTTATAGGGTTCCTTGGAGAGATCTATCCAAAAGGGTTCTATAAGGGAATTAAGGAACATATACCTTAAATGATAGGGGGCCTTAATATTAGGATTGAAGGTATATTCCTTTATTAAGGGGGCAGTTGGGCTCTCTGGGAAGCTGCAGACGCCAGCTCCCAAAAAATACAAGCCCCACGGCGCTTCACACTGACGACAGGGTGCCATTTCGGATGAGTTGGGATTCAGGAACCCGGAGAGCCCAATGCCCCTTAATTAAGGAATATACCTTAAATTATAGGGGCTTTCATATTGTGATTTAAGGTATATTCCTTAATTAAGGGGCATTGGGCTCTGGAAGAGCAGGGTTCGGGGCCCGGCATTGCAGAGTTTTGAGTGTTGTAGCTCAGGCGGTTTCACGGAACCCACGCTCAGAATTCGGAAACTCTACCCCAACCGCCCCTAAACCCTAGGCCCTAACCCCTAAACCCGAAACCCCAAGATCCACAGCCATAACCCCAAGATCCACAGCCATAACCCCCACAAAATTTCTGCTTCCGGGCCACGAAGGACAACAGTAGGTGCCCTCGTGACGGAAGCCTCGCTTGAGAGGATTCGCTTCGGGCGTTTCTGAGCTTATTTGCCTCAGACCTCGGACCTCGAGCACCAATGACGAACCCAGAGAGCCCAAGACTCCTTAAATAAGGAATATATACCTTAAATACTAGGGGCCTTCATATTATATGATTTGAGCTATATTCCTTAAATAAGGGGTATTGGGCTCTCTGGGAAGAGCCAAGATTTCGACTCTGATCCTCTTTGTACCCTCAAATAGGGGTACGTGGTCCCAAATTAAGGGTATTTGGGGTCTAGTAGAGGGTAGATGGAGGGTCTAGGCGCCTGAAAAGGTCCCACTTGCGAGAGATTGCCCCGAAACCCTAGTAGACTCCCGAGACTTTTGCGACCAGCCTGGAATGGAGAACCCGAGTTCAACGCTCCATTCGGCAAGCCCCGAGGCCCACAAAGACAAGCATCGCCCGCACAATTGATCTGATTCAGGATAGTCGAGGTGAGGCTCGCACTTCAGACAACTACGCAGGGCCTCTGTCAGGATCCCACTTCTGTGTATGTAAAGCTTCCAGCATCCCCAGTAGTTCCTTTTCGGGATTACCTTATGGGATTCTAAATACAAACCACAAAAAGGAACTACTTAGGGGCCTGTGGGTAAACCCTAAACCCTATATCCCTAAACCCTAAAACTCTACTTAGGGGCCTATGGGTAATGCGTTCTTGGCCCCAAGGAGCGGTACATTAACGGCTGCCGCATCGCGGCGCAGCGAACGACCAGCAGCCCAGTCGACAAATTGCTGGACTTTCTGGGGCTTTCAACTGGGCTCTTGTTAAGGAATTAAGGGATTTAGTATAATATATTATAATTACTGGGCTCTTGTTAAGGGATTTAGTTTTAAGTTGCCAAAATAGGGATCTATAGTGGATAATGTGGTTTCCTTATTATAGTAACTTAAACTAAATCCCCTGACAAGAACCCAGCGAACTGGGCTTAGGGTTCTGGGATCATGCGAGGCATAGCTAGCGTCTTGCGCCTATGTGGCAAAGGACGGGCTTCGCGGCACGTTTTCTACCAGTCTTTTCCTTCAGAACTCTTCCGCGC